CAGGAACTCCACATACTGCATGAAGGTGTCAATGTCTCTGACTGTGGCCGAGAATGACACAAACCTGTGCTACAACTCCAACATGAGACGAAATGAGAAGGCTGAGCTCAGCAAGAGTAAAGACATCCTCTGTCCTGACATAGATGACTATGTTGAACCTGGCAAAGAGCCTGACATCATCTGGTACAAGGTGGGCAAGCTATCTGACCGAGCATGTTTGAAATTGTGTGATTATATTTATTTCTACAGCCGTGTGTATCTTCTGTATACCTGCCTGAAAGTGTGTGTTTGTGTGTGAATACTGTTATTTCTTATGTATTAGGGGAAATAAAAGAAGGAGAGAGTCTGTCTTTGTGATTATACAACCAACGAATATTCTTCAATGGTTCATTGGTTTGTTTTCATCTAATTTCTTGGCTATTTATGTTTGAAGCCCTGGAAATGTGGTTCTAGATCACTTAGGCAGATTATGTATGGATGCAAATGATTATGATGAATTACATAAGTGCGTTTGCACTGTAAGAGCAATCTAAAAAGAACAAGGACTGAGCAGAGGGCATCAGAGATGGATTTTATAATGAACACACAACTTGTATGAGGAGAAAATTGTGCGATGTCACTCTCTGCCCTGAGGAATGAGTGGATGTCCTCCAAATACTCCAGTCCATGATATTTATTCAGCAAGCACCCTCTCCTCTCTCACCTGGGTTCTTGCCTTTCCCAGGTCAGGCACGGCCTGCGGACAACAAAGTGCATCCCAGGGAAGGGCTCAGGCCTGACTAATCACAGGCAGATCAGCAGTAGATTAGCTCAGCCAGGCTCGACCTCTAGGTTTTTCCAGAATTCAATTACGGTCTGGGTAATGACTGGGAGTGCTGGAACCCAGAGTTATTTGGACCACTGCGGAGCCACAGTGATTGAATTCGAAGGTTGCCGGGAGCAATGGTGGAATAGAATCCGCCGAGCCATCGTTGTCACTGCCAGAGCACCGAGGGGCTGGAGAGAGGCTCATGTCATGGAGTCAGTCATTGTGCCTGGCCTGCACACACATACTCACACGCATACAGACGCAGCACTAACACACTTATTTTGCCAGCAGAGACTATTCTAAATAACATTCTCTGTCCTCTGTGGCTCTACTGGAGTATTGAATGGAGAAGATTTAGTTCAGTGCAATAAATCTTGATCAGATAAGTAGGATAATGGCTAGGCCTTATCATTTTACTGTATGGAGTTTTTATGTCAGAGTGCCAAGCTATGCATCCCCATCACTTCATCCACTCTCGTAATACTAAGTGATGTTTGAAAGCTTTTGTGTCCAGCTCAGACCACTTGAAATCTTATGGATGTAATTCGTTATGAGGCAGAGTGAAGATTTAAAATTTCATGTCATGTCACGTTCATGTCAGATATTTAGAATCCTGACCATGTGCAGTACATAGCACCTTTCCACCTGTCTGCTTTTGATTTAACTTCTCAAGCGATCTATCAATGGTAAGCTTTGGGTAGAAGTTTTAGGTTTGACCTGCCTGTCCTTCTCAAATGTACAGGAGTGCCGTCCAAAGCAGTGGCGTGCCAGTATCATCCAGAAGAGAGACATTCTGTCTATCCAGGAGGTAAAGGAAGATGACATTGGGAATTATACCTGTGAAGTCCAGTTTGGTGGCTTTGTGGTCAGGAGGACGACTGAACTCACAGTAACTGGTAAGTGTTTTTGTATGTGTTGAAGGCATCTGTTTTACAAACTCTGTTAATGTTAGAAGAATAAGTAAAGTAGCAGTTATAACAATCACAGGCTCTTGGAGAAAAGGAATGAATGGTAACAAACACACACACACACTGAGAACTGCAGCGATGCCCTGCTGCTGTGTTAATTGCTGGGGGAGGTTGAATGCTGCGGCCTGCCCTCTTTCTCTTCTTCTAGCTCAGCACTTTCCAGCCAACCAAGCAGTGTTGAAATATTTAAGGCTATAGGCTAAGCCCCTTCACACTGAGAGCTAAAGAGCCAGGACCAAGGTCAGGAGATTTACAGTGCTCTTACTCTGCTCTCTCTGTTTCTATCCATCTCTCTCTTTGCCTTGCACAGCTGCAAGGCGAGCACATGACAAAATAAATGCATTCATTTGTTGTTTCTTAGTGGGAGTAGACTCCAGGGCGAGACCTGGGGATCGGGTGCTCTGAGCTTGTTCTGCCAGGTCAACTGCTCTGATGAGGGTTGATGAAAAGGTCAAATCCAGTTTTTCCCTCTCACTTTGTTTATCTCAAACCAACCTTGATTGTCCGACTCATTGTATTCTTGTGTGTACATCTGTTTGATGCTACCTATTGTTCTGTGCCCACTAGGGTCACATCATACAAATTAAAGCCAGAAATTGGTTGGTTTTATTGTGCTCAGTGATGCTGTAGTAAATAAAATGAGCATTGCTTGACCTTCAATTTGTAATAATAATGTTGCAATCGCCAATATGAATTCTGTACATTCCTTCTTTGCATAAGTTTAGCACTGCTTATTATAAATATATATCATCACCAGTGATGGATTAAAGCTGGTCCACTCAAATAGATGTCCACATTAATTTTCAGTGGATTCAAATTTTGCTACAGCCCGTTTGCTTGGTCATTACATCAGGTTGGGTGTGTGATTATGTGTTTAGTTTTATATATAAATCAAACAATTTTGCCCCAGCTGCAATGATGCTTGTGTATGGAAGTGTCTTAGTGTGTGTGTGTATGATGTTTGTCCACACAGAAGAAGAGTTAGCATTTGATTAGTATCTTCTTTGCTGTTTATTTGTGTGGCTGGTCATTGCTCTTTTGTGATATGGGGGCAATAGCAGTGTAAGATAACACAGGCTATTTGCTATCTAGCAAACAGGAAGACACATACCTCAACCTCAGCATGGTGTACTGTTGGATGAGGCTAAAATGTGTTGCTGGAGATGTGGCTTCCAGATTGGCTGCTCTTGTGATTGATGGCCTACATTTTATCCCCAGTGGGGCTTAGTAAATATTAGGCAGATAGGAGGAAGATACACTTGATTCCATTTTAACACCATTGCTATCACAGTGGAGTACTCCAGGTGCTCCATGTTTCCACAATTTGCTGTAAAGTGCCTTAATTAGAAATTCCTTAGACCATGCACGGGCAAAATATTACTGTATGCAGTGTGAGTAGGTCCATTTTTTGTCGTATTTCACAGTTTTTTTGGTTTGTTTATTTTATTGTCCCATTACAATTAACATAAAACAGAATGTGGGTGCGCTAAATTCATTTCACCTTTTGGTGGGAGAATACTATCTGCATAGCTAGTACCAGGAGTAATACTTGGGAAAATATTATAGTAAAATTTTTGTGATTTAAATGTTGTTATTTTTACTTTTCTATGTTTTTGTTATTTGGTCTGGCCTATTAACAGTTGTTGTGAAGATGTGTTTAATGTTTTTAATGTGTTCAATTGTGTGCTTTACAGTTTGTATTATAGCGAGTGAAGTCTGTGTTGGCTCTATGCAGTAGCTTATGTATTTTGTTTGGCTTTATCCTTCAATGTTATATAATGACGGGGATCATAAAACCTTTATTGGGTTATAAATATACACAGTTCACATTAAATACATCACACAGAATAGGAAAGTGAAAGTAGAAAGATATAGAAGAAATATGAGAGGCAGAAAGGCAGAGAAAGAAACTGTTAAATGGCCATTTTCTTTCTATACAAGAGCCCTGCATGTGGCCTGTATGCAGTGTGAGGTATGAATGTCCAATGATCCTGGCTGAACCGTAGAAGCCAGAACAATAGAACATACACCGATCAGCCATAACATTATAAGCACTGACAGGGGAATTGAATAACACTGATTATCATGGCACCTGTCAGTAGGTGCGATATAAGTTGATGTGTTAGAAGCAGAAAATGGGCAGCGTGAGGATTTAAGCGATTTTGACAAGGGCCAAACTGTGATGGCTAGACGACTGGGTCAGAGCATTTTCAAAACAGCAGCTCATGTGGGGTGTTCCCAGTCTGCAGTGGTCAGTAGCAGTACCAGGTGGTCATAATGTTATGGCTGATTAGTGTAAATAACTGGGAACATTACATCGTAGTGTGAAACGATTAACAAAAACGACAAAAAATTAACAGCAAACCAAAAAAAAAAGAACTCAAGTACCTGAGCAAAATTCCTTTGTGCTGTTGTTACTAAACCAACTTTGGTTTCTCGCCTTTGTGTAACACTTGCATGCACACATATAGAGCCACATAGAAACACCCACACACTTTATGAGGTACCTCGACGCATGTTTCCTATAATGAAACGTCAACAAGTCATCTAAATAGAAAAAGTAATTTTATTTGACAATTGTTTATCCCTTTTCAGCTCATGAAACAATTTGCATGAAGCACATTTCCAAATGAAGGCCATGTTCAATGTCCCCTTGTAAACTGACTGAGTGTGACTGATTTATTAGAAAACTTGCCACCAGCCGAAAACCGTCAATGGCTGTTTAGAGAATTTTACAATAGGTCTGTCTCAGTCACAGTTGTGTTGCATTTGCTGTAAAAATATGGTTTGCTCTACATTACCACAGCATTTTGCCTTATTAGCATACCAGTGGGGTACTTTCTCTTTAAAGCTGTAGTATCCTGGTAGAATTAGATTAGCTCACTATGACCATAGGCTCATTTCCTTTTAATAAACCTACACCATCATCCTCTCAAGTGGGCGTGAGATTATCCACATTTTATCACATCCTTTTAAAACCGACATTGCTTGGACAGCAAGCATAAAAGGCCAAACTATGTCGGAGATCCATGGGCTAATGTTGTAGTTTATTTGATAGGCCAAGAGGATGAAGGAGGTCATTAAGTTTAACTGATCTTAAATATAAAGCAGTAGATACTGGCCTTTGCTTTGACCCTGCCTTTGCTGCAAATCGCATGTGCCTGTGTGTGCATGTGTGTCTTCTGTTCCGACCCTATGCACTATGTAAAACAGCCTCCATTTGAAGCAGTAAGAGGACCTGCTATCTGAAGGTCCTGTAATAGAGGTTAACTATGGGCATAAACACAGGCTCGTCCAGATCAGGCTGATCCAGGAACCCCTTAATCAAGCGCTGATGCTCCTCAGGTTAATAGAAATGTTAAAGAAACGGCGACCCCTTGCCTCATTTTATGTTCTCTCCAGTTTATGTCAGGGTGCATTTAAATGTTCTTATCTCATTCTGAGTGTGTGGACGCAACGAGGTACAGCCTCTGCAGCATTGGAGGTGTGTATTAAGAATAAAAACACCATTATCAACAGATGGAAAGATTTTGTTTTTTTCTCTACCCTCCATAGACCTTCACCTCAACCTACCATCTGTAAAGAGAGTGCCTTTTTGTGTACTCTTATAATTGATTCATAGCAGCAGCAGGTTCGCTGTTTGCCGGCCTCTGAGGAATACAGAGCGTGGTCAGATTAGTCTACTCTGGTGTTTACCCTTTTCTACTATCAGAGACAAGAGAAGCAGCGCCTCAGCTGCAAGAACCCAGCTATGATTAATTGATACATGCATGTACGGTTTGGGCCACTCTATGTATGTCTGCTTGTGTGTTTGTCTTCTTAAAGTTGCATACCTACAAGGCGTCTGGCGTCTGGTGTAGCTTGATGTCTGTTTTTTAATAGTACATCTGAATCATTTCTATTCAATTTTTATGGTTCTCCTAGGCCTCATTCCAGCACTGTGATGGTAATGCTACAATAGTATAACACCAGATAAAAGCCCTGTTCAGCTGATGTATGCAGCTCCCTCTGCATTCTGTAGGAAAGAAAATATTATACAGAGAGTGCGGAAAAGGATAAAGAGAACAAGGGAGTGAAAGTGACTGATAAAAGCAAAGGAGAGAGAGGAGAAGCGATAGAAAGAATGAAAGAGATAGAGGGGTTGCTGCTCCTGTATCTTATCTGTATTCCTTGCCAGTGTTTCCCAGCAGAAACAGTGTGTCCAGGACTATAAACAGACTATTATCCCAGTGTTTATCACAGTGCACATTACCGTTTGCCTCTGTCGGACTTACTGTAATGGAGTCGTTTGGTTTGATGGATGCCTCGGGCGTGGGTTTCTATCTATTGCTCCCATTATACCTCTGTCTGCATCCCCTCACTGTAGAAAAGTCTGTCTGCACATTCAGCATAGCCTGCAAGCATGGTGATTGAGGTTATGACCAATGTAAATGTACCATTTGGCACAGTGAATTGGAAGTGCGGAGGGCAAGAGGAAACCGAGGGGAGGAGAAGAATCATCTACTTTACATTAACTCTTGTAGAATATCCACGGCGAGAGGGGAGGTGCTTGGGAAACTCTTTATGTACTGTGAATAAACATCTAAGTATGAAAAGAAAATATGTCACCGTTTCGGGTATTTTAGTTTGCTTGCATGTGGAGTTTGTTTTATTTGCCCCTCTCTGTGTCGGAATGTATTTTTGCTGGATCACTGTTACATTTGAGATTTAACAATTGGGGTTCACACTAACCTGATTGCCCTTGCCTCGCAGGACTGGATCTGGAAACAACAAGCATTCTGTGTGTGTGTGTGTGTGTGTTCAAGAAGGAGTGTCTGTGTGTGTAATGAGAAGCTGAGGTGTGGGGAGGTGATCCAGGACATCGTCTCATCGCAGTAAAAGGTTCCTTACAGTTCTTCTGCTACAGGGTCACCTTCAGAAGCATGAAC